ACCCTCCCGTCACCCCCCGCCCCCCCTGCTTTTTTCCCCCCACAAGTTACTTGTCTTAATAATATGTCAGGGTTATACTGAGCCCACATATCACTTGTCAATATCAGTGTTTCATTGACCCCTACAAACCACTAAAGTGGGTGGTTGGCGGGTGCTCTGGTGTGGTTTGCTCCTTTTTTCCTATCAAACATCTATCAATACTATCATCTTTATCTCCCCTCCTTTTTTGTAACACCTCTTATCTTCGGCACTTATATGACCTTATTGTGTTGCAAGTGCCGTAAAACTTGTACAAAAACCCCCCCAAAACCCCATTAACATAATCTGTGTCAGAGTTGCTTTGACCCCCAGTAAACACATGATCACATAGGTTTACCTCTTCCTGTTCCAGAGCCTTCCAGGAGATTGCCATGCTGGGTTTGTACCTGTTCAACGACGCACTGGTCGTCACACGCCGCACTGCCAAACACTTCCCATTTAGCCGAGCCATTGAGTTCAACTACAAGTATGAGACCAGTATGAGTCTCCTTCGTATGAAGCTTGTGGATATTCCGGATTCTAAGTGTGAGTATATTTTCTGTGGATGTTCCTGACTCTAAATGTAAGTATATTATCTGTGGATGTTCTCTACTCCAGTTCTAAGTGTGAGTATATTTTTATAGATAGTCCTGGTTCTAAGGTAGTGTTTTTTTCTCTTGATCCTGATACAATTGTGAGAAATGTTGTTTTCTGTAGATAATCATGATTGTAAATGTGGAGTGATTTTGATATTTTCCGTCTATACTATAAAAGTATTTTTGATTCTAACCAAGTGTGAGAATAGTTTCTGTGAGTATCCATGACTTTATGTAAATGTGGATAATATTTTAAGTTTCTGTAGTTAATGTACATTCCCCATTCATACCAACCAACTGTCCCTCTTTGTCATGTGAAATGTGTTTTGTCTGTCAACTGATGTGTGCTTTGTGTGTGTTATCAGTCTAACTGTTTTGTGCTCTAAGTGTGTTGTACTTGTATATCCACTTATGTGTGATATGTTATGTTTGTATTGTCTGTAAACTGAAGTGTGCTCTGATACTGTTGTTTGCCAGTGGATGTGTCTTCTGTGTTGGTTGTCTGTTCACTGACATATGATGTGCTTATTTATTGTCTGTACTGTGAACTGATGTGTGTTATGTGTGTGTTGTTTGTGAACGGATGTGTGTTGTGTGTGTGTTGTTAGTGAACTGATGTGTGCTGTACGTCAGCTGGCATGTGTTGTATGTGTTCTCTGTTAACTGATGTATGCTCTTTGTATTATCTGTCAACAGACGTGAAGAATGCCTTCCGAGTGGACACGCCCAAACAGTCATGGACACTGGCCACGGTCACGGCAGACGACAAGTTCAACTGGGTCAGCATCTTGGAGAGAACTCTACGGGGAGCGATAGATAGAAAGTAAAGAACTCTTCAGGACGCCATAGACATGAAGTAGAGTTTTTTATGTATGGTAGTTCATGATACGCAGTTTTGATATGTATTGTTCTCATGTGATATAATTAATCCCTGGTCCAATTTGGTGATGTGCCTTGATAGTCTTTACTGTTCCTCCTTCACTGGCGCAGTTGGTTGGTGTGCAGTGGTAGTGTGAACACTCTCTCCTCACTTCACCTTTCACCATTTGATGATGTGCCTGGGTAGTCGCAACATTTTGAATACCATTGACTCAATTTGTGTTACATCGTACGTAGTGGAATCAGGCGCTTGTCAAAATGATTAAATCAAATGCACAATTTTTGTGCCTGTTGGGCAATTAAACATTTTTTTTGGTGGGGCTCAGTACCTGTTATGTCCCTTCAAAAACACATTTCTGTGTTGATTTTATTGAAAAAAGATGTTGAAAGGCCCTAAAAATGGAAATTTGCAGTTTTCAATGAATTATGATCTTTGAAAATCATCAAACTTTGGCTGCTATTTTCTTGTTAATTTAGCTCCGACTCTTGGCCACCTCCACCTCCTTCAATCGCAAATATACAGATATTTAGATGGAGGGTATTTTTTTTTTCATCAAAAGCAAGCAAGATGAACAGGCTTTCAGATGATACCAATGATTTCATTTGCCCCAAAATTGATGAATGCCTGATTCCACGGTGTCGTGTCACATGTGATGATGTGTCTTGGTAGTCTGAAGTCTTTCTGTACCATTTATTCAATCAGATGATGTAGTGCCGTGGTAGTCTGATTCTGAAGACTTTCTTTACCCCTGACATAATCTGATGTCAAGGCTTGGTAGTCGCAACACTTTTTCGTCAGCGGGCACAATTTGATGATGTGCCTTGATAGCCTCAACACTTTCTCCACATACGCCACAGTTGGCAAAAAGTTTCTACGCTGGCTTCTCCTTATCCCACTCTCTGGCTGTGATCTCTATTTATTGCGTTACTGTTTTTGAAAATCTATTGTGATAAAAAGTTTCCTTTTTTTCTAATTTACATTATTGTTTCATTTTACAACCCTTCTTCCTGCCAAAACATAGTTTATTTAATGTGTACTATTACTACTATTGCTTCCTTATAAACAGCCTCTCTTCGTGCCTTGAAGAAGCTTCATGTGAAACATTGTTTTCTTTTACAACTCTTTTTCCTGCCTTAGGTTTCTATAATGAGTAGCCTACATTTTTTTTCCTCTAACAAATCTTTTTTCTGCTTTAAAGCAGTTTTTAATGTTTTTGATTGTTTCTTTTACAAAACTTCTTCCTTGCTTCAAGAAGAATCTCTTAGTTTTTTAAGTTCTCACCATATACAATGACATGTAAATTGTCTTTACGACTTTGAACTTTCCCTAATATTATTTATCCTTTTTACTACACATACAAAATTTTGTTTTGTAATAAAATGTTACATTATTTAATAATTGCATTATTATTTACTGAAATGTTTTATTATTAAATGAAATGTAATATTCTTCAATAATTTAAGGTATAGAACGTTATTTACTAAAATGTGCTATTATTGAATAGAATGTAATTTTTATCAGTGACTGACTTTTGAGTTTCTTCATGTGTCTTTGTTTGTAGGTAAACCTTCAATCTAGAGTGATCTAAGTACGTCTTAAGCGTTTTAAGTATTGTAACAAAGGTCCACAGTGAACTTTTGCTTTTGTTTTATTTTGTATGAGGTACAGTTGAAAGGTAGTTATATCCACTCAGGTATTTTAGGGGTCTTTTAGTTTTAGCCAGCGAAACTAGACCCTTGGTCTGTCTTGACTTCTAGAAAGAGTGTGTGTGTGTAGTGTGTGTGTGTGTGCCTGCATATATGCGTGCACACACATATTTGTGTTTGTGTATGTGTGTGTGTGTGTGTGTGTGTGTGCATTGATTGAATCGTTCCTTTAGCCTTGATGACAAGGCCAGTAAGAGAACCATGTGAGTGGAGCATCTACTTGCTCTTTACCAAACCCTGTGCAAACACTTCCCTACCTTAGAATTACAAAGTTCTATCTGACATTTTTGGCCGTTTCGAGATACATGTTCTATCGCCTCTATCATAATTGTAAGATTATTCAGAGTCGCCATCAAGCTATTCAGAAAACTGTGTTTGAAAAAGCTGTGAAACTCGAGATTCTTTACATCAAATTTCTCAAAACTAGGTACTGAGCTGGTAGAACTTTGTAAGTAGCGACTTGTCAAGTGTAAACAGAAGATCATTCAGTTGAAGGTCTAGAGAAACTTTTGAAACACACTGATTCTAAATCTTGAAATATCTTGAAAGTTCAGATTCATTTTCAGAACTGTCTGAAAGGAAAATGATCAATTGAGATGTGTCATTTGAGACAGATTCCTTGAAATCTGTAGTGCCTCACGATAATGGATTTGCACAGGCCCTTCCACACAGGTAGCACAGAAAAAGCAAAGATGAGGATTATTTTCTTCTGACTGTTTTCTTTCTTATATGATCCTACAATAGGGACTTAACACCCCTTTTAACATTGAAAATGTATTTTTTAGGACCTCTGAATTTAGCTTCTTTTTGTGATGACAAGTTGGCAAAGACCTGTGAAATCTGCAGAAACAAAGAAATTTAAAATCCACACCCTCACAGCCACGTGCAGCATAGCATAATTATTTTTTAAATGTACTTATCCCTACTTATTTTAGTATGGGGTGAAAACTTTATTTTAACCCCATTCTGAAATAAATGAAGTTTCAAGTGTTTGTAATGCAACTGTTCAACACCCAGAAAAAAGCTGAAGAGACGATGTGCGAAATGTCATATACGCTCTTTTAAGTTTTATTACTATCGACAGTGCTTTTCTTGAACCAAATAAATTTTCTAGATACCCGTACCGTTTTAAAAGTAAATTCAATTGTTTGGAGTTATCAAATCTTTTTAGATAGTCACCATCAACATCTTTTATGTATGTGACTGACAATAAGGAGCAATTTATATATATTTTTAATTATAGAGGAAACAAATAGAACAAAACTCTGTCAGCCCAACTCGCTGAATCCTGAAATAAGATTTAGATATTAAAATACCCTTAAGGTATTTTTAAGGTATAAAATGGGTATAGAATACCCTTAAGACTTAAGGTATTTTTAAGCAATACAGTCAGGCGCGGATAACTCAAACGCGCCTGAGATTGACTAATGTGTTTAACACATCCATAAATTGAGTGAACTGATAACGAAAAATTGAAGAGATTATATCAGTTGGGGAATGGCAAATTGTACAAACTATCTATCATGATTTCGAGTTTTCCGTGTTCATCTTATCTGTGCGCAACTGTTTTGATGTATTTGCTATAACTCCCAACTGCTGTCAGCCATATCCGACCTTCAACTTCAACTCGTGGACTTGGACCAGATGTTATTGCCCCTTTCCTCACCACCACACCCATCCCTCTATCCGACTACACCACTTTCTCACCAACACACCCATCTTTCTATCCCATAACCCACCTTTCCCACCATCAAACACATCCTCCTTTACAGTAACGTCCCTTTCACTTACATCATTACTCACATCCTCCTCTCCGACAATGACCTTTTCACACCACCATACCCATCCCTCTATTCGACAACACCACTTTCTCACCATCACACCCTTCCCTCTATCCGACTACACCACTTTCTTACCAACACATCCATCCTTCTCTCCCATAACGCACCATTCACACCACCAAACCCACCCTCCTGTACGGAAACGCCCCCTTCACATCATAACGCCCATCCTCGTGTCCATCAACACCCCTTTCACATTCACCATCACTCCCATCCTCCTGTCCAATAACGCCCCTTTTCACACCATCACGCCTATCCTTCTATCTGGTAACGCTCCTTTCACACCATCACACCCATCCTTCTATCCCGCACAGCCCCTTACCCACCCATCCTCCTTTACGGCAACGCCCCTTTCACATACGTCATCATACCTATCTCTCTGTCCAACAACGCCCCCTTCTCATCATCACACCCATCTCTCTGTCCAACAACACCCCTTTCACTTTAACGTCATCACACCTACCCCTTTGTCCGACTACGCCCCTTTCTCATCATCACCCCCATCTCTATGCCCAATAACGCCCATTTCACTCCACAACACCCACCCTCGTGTCCAGCTACACCTCTTTCACATACATTATAACACTCATCCACCTATCCGGCAAAGCACAAAGAACTGCCAGAGCTAAGTCCTCTCCACTACTGGCAATGGGTTTGGAATGGTGGTGGGGGTTGTTTTGTTGTTGTTTTTTGTTGTTGTTGTCGTTGTTGTTTGTTTTTTTTGTTGTTGTTTGTTTGGGGGTTT